CCTATTTTCCACAGCGCCAGAAGGCAAGACAAGAAGCAATGGATGGAAACTGAAAGAGAGAAGCAACCTAGGAGAAATTTCCTGACAGTAAGAACAATCAATTAGTGGAAGACCTTGCTTTCAGAAGTTGTGGATGCTCCAACACTGGATGTTTTTAAGAAAAGACTAGGCTGTTTGTCTAAAATGGTATAGGGCACAGGTGTCAAACTCATGACGTCATTGGGGCATCATGTGACGTATCCAGACTTTTCCCCCCTTCGCTAAACCTGATGTGGGTGTGGTCAACACCTGACGCATCGAGGGCCGGGAGTTTGACAGCCCTGGTATAGGGTCTCATCCTCGAATTGGACTAGAAGACCTCCAAAGTCCCTTCCAACTCTATTATTCTGTATCTGTGTGGTTAACTGTCTTACAACTCATATCTTTCAACCCTTGAAGACTGAATCATTAGGCTACCTAAAACAGACTACATGTTGCATATTTATACAGTCCTCCTAAATGTAAACATTGGGTAACTAAAACCCACATTCTCCTTGTAATGGTTATGAATTACATCTGTTTGGAATGAAATCTGAAATTATAAATGCTGCAAAGTTATGGATGACAAAGCCACTCATTGTCATGCCATTGTCAATATTTGCCATTTTTACTGAACTGTAAACAACTGGATAATTAGTGAACTTAATATTCAACTATGCTTGTTCTCTACCAGAGGCATTCTTTTCTTCAAATATCAGAAAGCAGAATAAACAACAACACCATAACCTGAACTGGTTGAAATAACAAACCAGTTTTTTATTGTTGATTTGGAACAAGATCACAAAAGGTCTTGAAAGCCAAAGATACAGCTAGCTAAACTTCTTGTTTTTCACAAAGCCCAGCAATATATACAGATAATCCTTGAGATATGACCATAATGGAGCCTGCCCACTATGGCTGCATGGCATAACAACCATTAAGTGAAGTGACTCACTTAACAACCCCCCCCCCATCCCTGCTCTCCCCATTGAATTACTAATTATCATGCAGGTTATTAAGTGGAGCAGATTGCCAGAGGTGGGGGAGGGCCTTGGCGGCCTAGCATAGGCCCAGGCCCAGGCCCACCTGCCTTCCCAAGGCCTTCCCCACTCCCCAAGATACCCCATGTTCCTTTTCCAGGGCTGTCTTAATGCATGGGCCTGACGGGCACTTGCCTGTGGGCCTGAGCATAGGGGCCCCATACTAATCTGTGTATGTTAACCCTTCAATGCACTTGTATCATATAAATACAGCAACATATTTATTACATTTTACTGCATTTTTAATTAATACTAACATGCAAATACATGTTTAATTTTATTGACTATTTACATTTTTATTCCTGTGAGTAGTTGTCGTAGGGGCCCCAGTACACTGCTTTGCCTGGGGCCCATAATGCTGTTAAGACAGCCCTGTCCTTTTCGTGCCCTTTGGGTCCCCACAGGCCTTTTCCGACTCCCACCATATCCTCCCAAGCTTTTGGCCTTATTCCACTCCACATGGCTAAATACTCTCCTCCTCATTTACCCTTTGAAGAGCTCCGAAGCCTTGCATAGCACTAGGTCACCTGGTTGCTCAATCAGTGGTGCAATTCCAGAATCTTGCTGCAGCACAGTGCAACTTTATTAAATCAGCAAAATGGAATGAGTTGTCCCTGGGCTGGGTGGTGGTGACCCAAAAATAGCTGCCATTTTGCCCATGCCCACTTGTGGATGGGTACAGCTATGAGACAAACTGCTTTGTTTTCTTAATGAGGTTTCAGAACATTGCAGAAGATTGCACAATCGAATCATGTGGCCGAGCAACAACATGACTTGTTTCATGTTAGGGAATGGGGTTGAGGGGTACCCCTGAGATGGCATCAGGATAAATAAGAGAAGATAAAAGGTGAATAAAAGAAATAATCATTCCAAGTCAGATATATAAAGTCAGATCAAATCCTATGAACTCTAAGCAACCTTTGAATGAGCTCATCTATTCACTTAAAGATACGTGCTGGCTAAAAGCAGCTGGACTGCCTTATTAGTCAAATATATCTTCTGATAAGGCTCAGCTGTCATCCAGCAGAAAAGTTAAGAATGGAGTTTGGAGAATAGAACTGAGCAATTAGTTCATGGATGTCCCCCTAATCACTTGACCTATGGCCCTGTGTCCAACTCTCTGATTCTATACATCTTCTTAACAGAATCAAATGTGAACATCTGGATGGATACAGGGGATGCAAAAAGTTATTTATTGTTTAAAAAGTATACTCATAATTTCTGCATTTACACATTACAGCTTTTAAAGAACAGTTGTAAAACATGAAGTGATGGGTTAGTTAAGGTATAATGGTTAAATCATGAAGTAGTGAAAATGTATAGCCAAAATAATTGTATTAAGTAGCATGTAATGGTTTGATAATTAGTAAAGTGTAATGTAAGTGAAATGTATTTTTAATGTAACCATATATGGAAGCCGGAAAAGGCTCATGGGACTCTTTGTCTTGAAAACATATTTAAGTAATAGAAAAATGACCAATCTTCATTGAGGTTGCAACTTTCAAACAAAGCCCTGAATCTTTGCGCAAAAATAAACAGATCTGTCTGACCCAGGAATGTCCTTCAGTTCTTTATTTCTACAACATTTTCTGGCGACCACGAAGGGACTGAGGAACAAAGACACTTGTTCTGCCTGACGGCTGCTCCCGGCAGGATTCGACGCCTTTCCAGGGAAACGTTCACAGGCCGGCCACAAAGACTCCATTGAAGTCTAAAAGAATCTTTCGCTGAGAAGACGCCGTGAGCCTGCTGTGAAGAAGCAGACCAGTCAAGGATCCTCAGGTCAGACCAGATCCGTACCTTTCCACAGGTGGCCACCAGGACAAGAAAAGCATCAGGCAAGTATAAGTAAAAAGGTTACCTACCCCTTTTGGGTGGAAGGGGGGGCGTGATTAACCCCCCAGGGAGCAAGGTGTCGTCCTAAAGCTCTCAGTGAGGAATTTCTTTGGCGTGGGTGGTTAAACCTCTGCGGTTCTCATAGACGACTGTCGGAACGTCCAGCGTCGTGAGCCAGGGGTAGTGTTGTTAGGATGGGGGTGGTAAACAGCCGTGTCCCACGGACACCGTTGCAGTGTATGTTAGCCAATTTCAAAAGTGCCTACAGTGGAACTTATGGTGACTCCCAGTGTAATCCCGAAACCTTGGAGATGTTATGTAAAGAAACATGGCCAGCTCTTGGCATAGGGTGGTCAGAAGAAGGGTCAGTGGACCCAATAGTGATATCCAAGGCACATCGGGTCATTACTCGGGAGGGCCATTGGGACCAGTTTCCATACATAGACCAGTGGCAGATTGCTCAAAAGGCAGCTCCCCCATGGCTTAAGAAATGTCAGCAGGAGTGTGTGAAAGTGTGCCTGATGAAAGAGAAAAATAAAACCCACAGAAAGATATCTAAAAAACAAAGTTTTCAGTCAGGAGGTAGAAGAAGAAGTTAGTCGCCCTCCCCCTTATGCTCCCCCTCATCCCATACCCCCAGGACAAAACCTTTCCCCACCACTGCCAGCAAATGAAACGCCAAAAACTATTCAACCTCAAAAGTGTCATTTGCAAGTCAAAAGAGAAGTCAAAAGTGAAGGGGAAGAAACAGATGGAGAATCTCAACCTATAAGCTCCAGAACTAGAAGTCAAACCAGTCTTAAGAAAGCAGAAACGCTGGCCCCCTTAAGGGAGATGTTGACTCATGAAATGAATGGTCAAGGCCCCCCTGCGATTCGTTCACTGTTCCAGTACCAGCCATTTACAACTACAGACCTGCTTAACTGGAAGCAGCAATATGGGCCGTTTAACCGAAAGCCATATGAAATTATAGACCTTTTTAACACCATTATGCAAACTCATAAGCCCACCTGGGGAGATATTCAACAACTGTTAAATACCTTACTCTCCATGGAAGATAGAGAAAAATTCAAGATTGCTAAAGAAAAGGTATTAACTCGTATGTTTCCTGATATGAATCAGGCAGCTGACAAGACAAGAGCGAGGGCTGAGAATGACCCCCAGTGGGACGCAAACAATGCTCAGCATTTAACTCAATTACATGATTACCGCCTCTTGTGTTTAAACAGTTTAAGAGAAGCTGCAAAAGGTCCTGTTAATTAAGCTAAGACTGCAACAATATTTCAAGAAAGAGATGAAAGTCCTGAAAGTTTTCTAACCAGATTAGTAGAATCTTATAAAATAAATACTGGAATACCCATAGAAGATCCAGCAAATAGATTTATGTTAAATGAACGTTTTATAAGCCAGAGTGCTCCAGACATTAGAAAGAAATTACAGCGCTTGGACGGAGCACTAGGCAAGAATACAACTGAGCTTTTAGAAGTGGCTAGAAAGGTATATCTGAACAGAGAGAAAGAAGAGGAAAAAAGACAGGCTGCTAAAGAGAGAAAGAAGACTGAGATGTTAGCTCTGGCACTCGAGGGGGTCATTTTGGGACCCAATCAATGTGCAATTTGTAAAGAAGAGGGGCATTGGCAAAGACAATGTCCCCGTAGAAGAAGGGAATCCAGAGAAGAATCCTACGGGCGTGGATCACAGATGATGAGAGGAAATCAGAGAGGTGTCTTTCGAGGACGAAGCATGAGAGGAAATAGAGGAGATAGCAGAGGAAGAAGGGGGGCTGACAGGCAATTCATTCCACCCAGCCAGTCACACCGGAATGAGGAAGTAATCGGCCTGGCTGAAATGGAATGGGATGACTGAAGAGGCCAGGGCCCCACGGACCCACCCCCGGAGCCCATGATGGATTTATGGGTGGGAGGACGTCAAGTCCGCATGATGATTGATACCGGAGCCAGCCGATCAGTAGTTAATAAACAAGTAGCCCCTTTGTCAAAGGAAAAAGTCAGAGTTCAAGGAGTGTCAGGCACCCCAGCCACACACAGCCTCCTGAAACCAGTTAAATGCAAGGTTGGGAACGGCCTAGTAGAACACCAATTCTTGTATATGCCTGAATGCCCAGTTCCTCTATTAGGAAGAGATCTACTTTTTAAATTAAGAGCCACCATGTCCTTTAATGAAAATGGACAGTATTTAACAGTGTCACATCCAGTGGAAGAAACTTGGCGATTAATGTTAATGCAAGATTCAACTCAGGAAAGTTTATGGAAAGAATTTAATGTTCCTACTCTGTGGGCAGAAGATAACCCCCCTGGGCTAGCAAAATTTGCCTCCCCAGTAGAAGTTAAACTGAAATTAGGATACAAGCCCATCAGAGTACCTCAGTATTATGTTCCTCAAGAAGCGGCAGAAGCCATTCAAGTTTTAATTGACAAATACTTAGCTGCTGGGATACTCAGACAAACTCAATCCCCATGGAATACAGCAATTTTGCCCATAAAAAAAACCAGATGGGGGCTGGAGACCGGCGCAAGATTTAAGGTTAATTAACGCCGCCGTGGTCACGCTACACGCGATAGTGCCTAATCCCTACGTTTTGCTGGGGACCATCCCTCCTTCAGCCGCATGGTTTTCCGTCATAGACCTAAAAGACGCTTTCTTCACTATACCCTTACATCCTGATAGCCAAGACTTGTTTGCCTTTGAATGGAAAGACTCTAAATTGCGTAGACATTGCCAGTATACCTGGACCAGATTACCCCAAGGCTTTAAGAATTCTCCTACCCTTTTTGGGCACGCCTTGGCTCAGGACTTGCAATACTTCCAACCTGTTCAGGAAGGGGACTGTCTCCTTCAATATGTAGATGATGTGTTAGTAACAGGAACCACTCAGGAGAACTGTTTCAAAAATACCCAAACCCTCCTTGAATTACTGAAAGACTGTGGATACAGAGCTTCAAGAAAAAAGGCTCAATTAGTAAAGAAAGAGGTTACGTATTTGGGATACACGCTATCTCAAGGTCAGAGAAATTTAGGATTACCTAGGAAACAGGCAATCTTGCAGCTGCCCCCACTGAAAAATCGAAAAGAACTGCGAGGCATTTTGGGAGTCATGGGCTTTTGTCGCTTGTGGATTCCTAATTTTGCCTTACTTGCCAAACCCCTGTATGCTTCAACCCGGGGAGCAGAAACAGACCCGTTTGAATGGGGCAAAGAACAAACAAATGCATTAAGTCATTTAAAAGAAGCACTTACATCCTCTCCAGCTTTAGGGTTGCCAGACCTTTCCAAATCCTTTCGTCTTTATGTGGATGTCCGTCAGAATGTGGCAATAGGGGTATTAACTCAACAGCAAGGATCATGGCAACGGCCAGTGGCTTACTTATCCAAACAATTGGACAGCCCGGCTCAAGGCTGGCCACACTGTCTTAAAATTTTGGCCGCTGTGGCAGAACTTATGAGAGACACAAACAAACTGACTTTTACCTCAGAAGTAGCAGTCTATACATCCCATGCGTTGCAAACAATCCTAGAAAACAAAGGACACTTGTGGATAAGTAACCAGAGATTGCATAAATATCAGGCTCTGCTGTTAGAAAACCCCCAGATAAGTCTTCACCAATGTGCTACGATCAATCCAGCTACCCTTATGCCAATTCCTGATGCATCCCTTCCGCTGCATAACTGTCTACATGTGTTAGATCATCAGTATTCCTGTAGACCAGATTTGACTGACACCCCTCTTCCAAATGCTCAGCTTACATGGTTTACTGATGGCTCAAGCTTTATGGAGAATGGAGCTCGTTATGCAGGATATGCTATAGTTAGCCAACACGCAGTTATTGAAAGTGCCTCTCTTCCAGTGGGTACCAGTGCCCAAGCAGCTGAGTTGTGGGGACTCATCCGAGCATTAGAATTAGCCACAGAAAAGACTATTAATGTGTACACGGACAGTAAATATGCCTTTTTGACTATTCAAGCACATGCAGCTATTTACAAGGAAAGGGGCTTCACTGACTCTACAGGCAAACCAATTCAACATGCCCCTTTAATTAAAAGACTGATTTCTGCTGCACAACTTCCCAAATCCTTAGCTGTCATTCATTGTCCGGGGCATCAGAAAGCAGACACACTCGTTGCACAAGGCAATCGATTTGCTGATAGAGAGGCCAAATTGGCAGCACACCTGCCTCTGGATAGGAATGATTATTATCTCTATATGGCACAAGAAGTTGAATCCTACATTGAAAGATCTTATCCCACCTATACTCAGGTAGAGAAAGAGAAAGCTGAAGGAGATTTGAAAGCCAGCTTGGTGAGGGGATGGTATACTCTTCCAGACAATCGCTTAGTGGTACCAGTTTCGCTTGCCTGGCCTTTAGTATCAGAGGCACACCAAACCTCACATAGTGGCAAAACTGCTTTGGCCCAACAGTTGCAAGCAACATTCTACATACCCAACTTGCAGAGTCTGGTTGCCAAGGCAACTTCCCAATGTCCTACGTGTGCACAAGTGAATGCTAAGCAAGGACCGCGCTTACCACCAGGACAGCAGCCAATCTCCTACTTACCCATGGACTATTTAATGGTGGATTTTACTGACATGCCCAAATGCCATGGTTATAAAGCGTTGCTCATTTTCATTGACACTTACTCTGGATGGATAGAGGCCTTCCCCACTCGAAATAAGTTAGCTATACAAGTAGCACGCTTTCTTTTAAAGGAAATAATCCCTAGATTTGGATGTCCATCTACCATCAGCTCTGACAATGGCCCAGAATTTGTGCAACGTATAAATCGCCACTTGGCTGAAGCTGCAGGCCTGAAATGGAGGTATCATTGTTCATTTCGGCCTCAATTGTGCGGGAAATGTGAGAGGGCTAATCGCTCATTGAAAGCAATCATTACAAAACTGTGCTTAGAAACCCACTTGCCATGGCTTCAAGTTTTCCCCATGGCCTTGTACATTTTCAGAACAGCTCCTCGAACCAAATACCAGCTGTCTCCTTTTGAACTTCTGTATGGGAGACCCCCTGCCTTGTTCAAGCATCATTTTCAAGGCTGGCCAGATTTAGTGCAAAAAGGGGGGGGTAGAAGCAAGAAAATTACTTTTGCAGTTACAACAGCACAACAATCATGTCAACAAACTGAGGCATTATATGCAGGAATGCAGACCCCCTCCTATTACCACTGCAGGTCACAACTACAAACCAGGAGATAGAGTATGGATAAAACATTGGAAAAATGAGCCTTTAAAACCTAGATGGAAAGGGCCATATACTGTTGTGATGTGTTCACCTCTTGCAGTTAAGACCCTGGAAGGACGGTCCTGGATCCACTGGACGAGACTGAAGCCCGCAGACCAAAGTGATCCAGCCACATACCAGGTGACAACAACTGACCGGCCCTTGGTGTTGAGGTTCAAGAAGACATCTTGCTGAGCCCTACCGGCAACGCGCAGTGGTGATCATCAAGCTTTGCTGAACCACCCCGGAAGCTGGTTCTCTACGCACAGCCGAAGCTTGGAACGGAGAAAGACAACATTCCACAATTGTAGATTTTAATGTAACACCCATTAACAGTGATAGTATTCAGCAAGCATTTATCAAAAACACACACACACTCATGGTTTGGGAAGATTGGGTGTGGGGACTCTGGGCCATCACTGGTTTAGTACTTCTGGGAGTATTGTTTTATATGTACAAGGACTTGCTCTGTGGGAAACCCAGGGATCCACCTGAAATTGACCTCACCCAAGTTACATACACTTCTACAGATCTTCCGGACTTGGTGAACGTGTAAAATTCGGGTCTTGCGCTCTTAAAGGCCCTGTGGGTGTGGGAATAAAGTCATGATGATTTATTTGGGGTTGTGGGTACTATTAGCCAAGGGTCTAGTGAGTGATGCTAACTTGAACAGTAGTTCCCCATGTTGTGTGGATGTTCAAGAAATTCCCCTTGTCCCTGTAGAAGGAATTGAAGATGTCAAAAATCCTACGGGAAACAACAGCATCACAACACTGAATGGGGACCCTTTGGATAAAGTCCGCTCCCGCCAACAGCGTGGTATCATAAGGTGGGGAGGGAGCCTTAGACCCAAACCCACTCCTAAACCTAAAGTCAAGAGTCTAACAATCCCAGTACCGGGGGGGAATAGAAAAGGAGAATGGGCCCATGCAACAACTGAGAAGGGGAGATTACATATCAAAGATACTGGAAGTGGGTCAAGACCTTGTTAATCAGTATGACCCTAACCTTGGTGAAAAATGCTGGTTGTGTTTATCTGCTAGCCCCTCATCTTATCATGCAGTTCCTGTCAAACCACAACTTTGGGCAAGGACAAAAGCTACAATAGTCCTTGAAAAAGATAGTAGGAATAAAGCACCAGTGTCTCCAATACAAGAAGATTTTTTTAAGGCATTCCAACGGCTAGGAAAAAGCCGCCTTCCTATTGCTGGCCCGATAGCCACGGGTGTGGAACTCATAGGGACACCTTCACTGTGTGTAAAGAGACATCAGAAATCTGGTAGGCCTGTAGGATCCCTCACAGAAGAACAATGTCCATCAGAAATTTCCTTTGGTCCTAAAACAGACCTTATAGATGTAAAACTAACCAAAGATCTTTTTCCTTCTGCACATCACTCATCTCGTCATAAGGTCTCTTTCTCCCCACCACCAACTGCCTTCATCACAAGATGGGGAGGATGGAAGGGATCCGGAAATGCCTCCCTGGAAAGGTGCCCCAATCCATTTCAACCCCCTCGTTTCCCTCTCTGGCTCTCCATTAGATCCAGCACTGGCATGTGTGTCCTCTTTCCCCCAGGGAATGGTACCTCCCGATATCTTCTAGAAGGCCCAATCATCAGAGATAAGCAAAGGGACCCTTCCCTAGAAGTCCCATTACAGCCTCTGGCCGGAATGTTTGTAGCAGGGACTTTGGGAGTCTGGACTAATGGAAAAGACCATCGAGCCCATGCTTTCTCCATGAACATAGGTGTGTGTGTAGGGGAAAAGGGAGTTTTCTTTTATTGTGGGACAAATGCGTATTTATGTTTACCAACAAATTGGACTGGAACATGCACACTAGTACACCTTTTTCCTAAAATAGGTGTTGTCAGTGGAGAAAACACCATCCCTGTTCCTCTCATGGGACATGTTCAAAAACGGGTACCCATCCTAATCCCACTATTAGTAGTCATGGGAATAGGAACTGCAGTGGGTACAGGGATAGGTGGTTTAACACACTCAGTAGTTCAGTTTCAACAACTGTCAGAGGAATTTCAAGAAAGTTTGAATCAGATAGCTGGGACGATAGTAGAGGTCCAAGATCAAATAGACTCATTGGCTGCAGTGGTCTTACAAAACCGACGTGCCTTAGACCTCCTAACCGCAGAAAGAGGAGGTGTGTGTTTATTTCTGGGAGAAGATTGTTGCTTCTACATGAACAAATCAGGTGTGGTTAGAGGAATTGCCAAGGATTTACAGGATAGGGCATCCAAGATAGGTCAAAGATTACACACATCGGACATGTGGTTTTCTTGGGTGCCTGGGTCCGGGTGGATTAAGCAAATATTGTTTTTGTTGATTTGTTCTGTAGCAGGCTTGGTTTTTATTCCTTGTGTTATCCCTGTACTAAGACAGCTATCTATCAGAGCAGTAAAAGAGATGCAAAAGGAGCAGGCATTCATGTTAACAGAGCGCCTGATGGAAGAAAAAGCTCAGGATACAGACACATATGTTGAGATGGGGTCTGGAAAAGAATGGAGAGAATACTATCTTGCTTAGATTAATCATATGTTATGTATTGTGTGGAGTGATAGATATTAGATTTGTGTATTAGAAGACATTGAATGTTGTGTAAGCAGTAATGAAAGTTTATGCATGGAAAAACTTCCATAAGGGGGGAATATGAGATGGCATCAGGATAAATAAGAGAAGATAAAAGGTGAATAAAAGAAATAATCATTCCAAGTCAGATATATAAAGTCAGATCAAATCCTATGAACTCTAAGCAACCTTTGAATGAGCTCATCTATTCACTTAAAGATATGTGCTGGCTAAAAGCAGCTGGACTGCCTTATTAGTCAAATATATCTTCTGATAAGGCTCAGCTGTCATCCAGCAGAAAAGTTAAGAATGGAGTTTGGAGAATAAAACTGAGCAATTAGTTCATGGATGTCCCCCTAATCACTTGACCTATGGCCCTGTGTCCAACTCTCTGATTCTATACATCTTCTTAACAGAATCAAATGTGAACATCTGGACGGATACAGGGGATGCAAAAAGTTATTTATTGTTTAAAAAGTATAGTCATAATTTCTGCATTTACACATTACAGCTTTTAAAGAACAGTTGTAAAACATGAAGTGATGGGTTAGTTAAGGTATAATGGTTAAATCATGAAGTAGTGAAAATGTATAGCCAAAATAATTGTATTAAGTAGCATGTAATGGTTTGATAATTAGTAAAGTGTAATGTAAGTGAAATGTATTTTTAATGTAACCATATATGGAAGCCGGAAAAGGCTCATGGAACTCTTTGTCTTGAAAACATATTTAAGTAATAGAAAAATGACCAATCTTCATTCAGGTTGCAACTTTCAAACAAAGCCCTGAATCTTTGCGCAAAAATAAACAGATCTGTCTGACCCAGGAATGTCCCTCAGTTCTTTATTTCTACAACACCCCGGACCGTGAACCAGCTCATGAGCAAACACACTGAGACTGAAATAAATCTGACACGAGGCATCTTGTGTAAAAATATAATTTACTTTAAAACATTTAAAAAGCACTATGTCTTTAAGAAAGCACATTAAAAACAAAGTCTTTGGTTATGTGAAGCAAGGCTATCTCCCTAGATTCCTCTCCACAGTACCGAACAGTTCACAAGAGAATAAAGCTAACATGAAGATAAGCAGCTTCGGCATCGATACATCATCGAGGTAATAGAAGGGGCAGCACAAACTTCACAGCTAAAAGTCACCTGAAATAAAAACAGTTCAAACAGCAAACATTGCTTGAAGCTTGTGGGAGGAAGAAGGTCCAGCAACAGCAGTCCCGATGATAGCTTGCGTGCTACAAAACAGCAAAAGGCAAGCATCCGTGGGAGTTTCTCAGCAACGGCGTCTGGAGTCCTTATCTGCATTCTTCTCCCATCTGCAGCATTTGCACTGAGCTTCCTGCAGGAGCTGTGCATTTAGGCCTAAACCGGAGTCTAGGCCCGAGTAGCAAGCGAAAAGGTCCTTGCTTATATGGGGAGTTAACCTGCAATTAACTAGGGGGGGAGGCTTGCAGGTAATTACAAACAGGAGATGGCTTGATTGAAACCATACTGTTTGTGAGTAGGCAAGTAGCCACAGCAATCCTGGAAACACCCGTGACATTTCAGTACTATGGAAGGCCCAGAATTTTTCAAAAGATAAGTGAAGATGAGTGTGTGGGATGTGATAGGATGGGAATCAGGCCTATAGCTGGTGGGGAGCTATTGGTCAGAGGAAAATACTTGCAGGGCAGGGAGAAGCAGGAAGATAGATAGGGAAGCACTGCAGTATTTCTGTGGTCAGTTGTATTGGCAAATGAATGTGTGTCCTGCAGCAGCGATAACTTCAGGTTCGGTCATAAATAGCAGACTCCAGACACATATAACAGTGGCAATGTTCAGAAATTATAGGATTTGTATTTCAAAATATTACCCATATATTTCTTGGAAGAGTTTAGTAAGAAATACACAGCACAGCAATGTTTTAAATAGTTGATTTCTGGCTGAGGGTATTTAGATCAAGGAAGCTACTTTTCTTTGCACTAAAAGTAAGAAGCAGTTTGGTGTTAATTTTATGAACTAGTTATTTTGTTACCTATTTAGCTGAATGCTATCATATTTCTAAATCATAGAGCAGTGGTCCTAAATCCGTTAGGATTCAACATTATTTAATCTGCGACCATCTTCCCCAGTCTGGCACCCTCCAGCTGTCTTGAAGAACTACCTGACCTGTGCTGGTTGCAGCGATGGAACCGAGATCCACCAGATGGAACCGAGAGGACTCCCGTTTGGAAGCAGCTGGTTTGGAGACGGACTGAATACGGGAGTTAGGACTTAAATAGTTAAGCGATTCCTGCAGCGCCGCAAAACTACTTCCAGTAAAAGTACCACCTTCTTTGTTGTCAGTCATGGAATGAAAGTTAAGGTGAGCTTTTCGAGCCCAGATGTGCTTTTCGCCCATGTGATGGCCAATTTTTACATCTTGCTAACCTATAATGTAACACTCAAACTCGTTACTCTCACAGCCCGAGAATCGCGTTCTCCAAACGCAGCATTCCACTCAAGCTGCAATGACATGAAGCCGCAGCTTCGGACGCCGCAGGGATGCAACCCGGCAGCAAAGCCACAATCCTGGGCCACGCGTCCCAACACGAACAGCACGTGACCACCGACCGCGGCAATTGTACCTACCGCCTAAAGCGCGCAGGGCTGAACAGCGGACGGAGGAAAAGGCCGGGAGGCAATGGGCTCGGCGAGTGGGCGGGGTGATCACGTGACCGAGACGCGGCCAATGCTGGCTGGAGCTCGGGTCGTTTAGTCGCCCTTAACCAGCGACCGGATTTCTAATCTGCTTCCTGGAAAGCGAAGAGAGTCGATTGGAAGCCTTCTTGAAGTCCCTCTTCTCTTTGAAAAAAGTCCCTAGGCCGTGAGTTCTTTCACCCAGAATGGGCGGTCCTTAGCCTGCAAGAGGCGTGGCCATCATTCGAGAGACTTCCCTGACTGTCATCTCTTCAGCACCGCCTTCTTTTTAGCTGCGTTTAGCGACGCCTACAGTATTAGTTTTTTTTTAAAATGCATTTTTGTGGAATTAGCAATTATTTTATTTATTGACAGTGTTCAAGCGCTTCTCACGTTGTTAAATGCTGTTATTTATGGTTATAAGGTTAATGTATGATAGACGATTTTAATGATTTATTTATTAGATTCATATTACACCTTTCCTTCTGGAGCTCAGGTCAGCACACATAGTATTTCTCCATTTTATTTTCCACGCTACAAAAACCCAAAGGCATCTACTGAGTTTTTAGGTCCAAGGATGGAGTAGAACTTGAATCTCCTTCATGCAATCCAGTGGCCTGACCATTACATCCCAACCTTTGTGGGTGGGGGGGGTGGGGGTTAGGACTTTTTTAAAAATCTGATCTATAATCCTAATCCCATCCACTTTTAGAAAATGGTCTTGGCATGCTTTGCAAGCGTGCTGCAAAATATAGGTGCAGACAAAATATAGGTGCTCACATAGGTGGGCACACTCTGGATGTAGTTTTTATCTCTGGTCAGTGGTCAAGTGGCCTTGATATAGGGGATATAGTCATCGAACCCTTGTCATGATCTGACCACTCACTCCTTTGACTAGACTTTCTAACCGCTACACCCCGCCGCAGGGAGGCGGGACCGACTAGGTGGTTCCATCTCAGGTGCCTGATGGATCCTGATAAGTTCCAGATGGAGCTTGGGCCATTTCCTGAGACTCTGGCTCATGACTCGGCTGAAGACCTAGTGGCCGCCTGGGACAGTGCGGCCACTGGGGCTTTGGACCGTCGTGCCTTTGTGACCTCTGACCCGGCACCGAACTCACCTAGCTCCTTGGTTCTCCGAGGAGCTGAGGGAGATGAAGCGTCGGAAAAGACGCCTGGAGAGCGGTTGGAGGACCAGCCGTTTCGAATCCAACCGAACACAGGTGAGGTCTCATATTAAGACCTACTTAGCGGCGATAAAAGCGGCAAAATCTAGCTATTTTGCCGCCCTTATTGCATCATCAGATAATCGCCCAGCCGCCCTGTTTAGGGTGACCCGCTCCCTCCTCCATCTGGGAGCACGGGATGATCCCTTGCAGGGTCAAGCTGAGGATTATGTGCAGTATCTGCATGACAAGATCGCTCAGATTTGGGAAGGCCTGGCCTCTGACTGGGTAAGTCCAGACGAGATGACTGAGGCAGGTCTTGAGAGTGTTATCTGGGAGGAGTTCGATCCTGTGGCTCCCGAGGACGTGGACAGGATTCTGGGACGGCTGAACGCGACCACATGTTTATTGGACCTGTGTCCCTCATGGTTAGTGCTGGCTTCCCGGGAGGTTACACAAGGCTGGCTCCAGAGGATTATTAACGCTTCCTTGAGTGAGGGTGTCCTACCGGCCGCCTTGAAAGAAGCGGTGGTGAGGCCCCTCCTCAAGAAGCCCTCTCTGGATCCGGCTGTTTTGGCTAACTATCGTCCAGTCTCCAACCTTCGTTTTACTGTGAAGGTTGTTGAGAGTGTGGTGGCGCGGCAGCTTCCACAGTACCTGGATGAAGCTGTCTATCTAGATCCGCTCCAGTCTGGCTTCAGGCCTGGGTACAGCACGGAAACGGCATTGGTCACGTTGGTGGATGATCTCTGGAGGGCTCGGGATAGGGGTTGCTTCTCTATCCTGGTCCTGTTAGATCTCTCAGCAGCTTTTGATACCATCAACCATGGTATCATGTTGCACCGGTTGGAGGGGTTGGGGGGGGCACCGTTTTGCGGTGGTTCTTCTCCTACCTCTCTGACCGGTCGCAATCTGTGTTGGCAGGGGGGCAGCGGTCGACCCCGAGGCGCCTTGTTTGCGGGGTGCCGCAAGGGTCGGTCTCTCGCCCCTTCTGTTCAACATTTATGTAAAGCCACTGGGTGAGATCATCCGTGGCTTTGGGGTGGATTTCCATCAGTACGCTGATGACACCCAGCTGTACATCTCCACCCCAGGCCACCCCAATGATGCCCTTGAAGTGATGTCCCGGTGCCTGGAGGCCGTGCGGGCCTGGATGGGGAGAAACAGGCTCCGACTCAACCCTTCCAAGACCGAGTGGCTGTGGCTTCCGGCATCCCGATATAGCCAGCTGGTGCCATCGCTGGTTATTGGGGGCGAATCATTGGCCCCCACGGAAAGGGCTCGCAACTTGGGCATCCTCCTGGATACACTGCTGTCTTTAGAAGAGCATATGACGGCCCCAGGGGGGCTTTTTATCAGGTCCGCCTGATACGCCAGTTGTGTCCCTTTCTAGATCGGGACTCCCTACGCACGGTCACTCAGGCACTCGTCACTTCCCGCCTGGACTACTGCAATGCTCTCTACATGGGGCTCCCCTTGGGGTGCACTCGGAGGCTCCAGTTGGTCCAGAATGCGGCCCCGCGGAGGATTATCGGAGTGACGGGGAGCTCCCATGTGACACCTCACCTGCGCGAGCTGCACTGGCTTCCTGTGGTCTTCCGGGTGCACTTCAAGGTGTTGGTGACCACCTTTAAAGCTCTCCATGGCTTAGGGCTGGGGTATCTATGAGACCGCCTTCTGCCGCCAATAGCCTCCCTCCGGCCAGTTCGCTCACACAGAGAGCGCCTCATCAGGGTGCCGTCGGCCAGACAATGTCGGCTGGCGACCCCCAGGGGGAGATCCTTCTCTGTGGCGGCACCTGCCCTCTGGAACGACCTACCCCCAGAGATACGCATGATACCAGACCTCCGGACTTTTCGTCGGGCCCTGAAAACACATCTATTTCATCTAGCCCGGCTGGCTTGATCCCATCCTTGCGCTTTTAATTTGTAATTGGTTTTAATTGGGTTGTTTTAAATTGATGGCCAAAATTATTTAATGTTTTTTAAACTGCTTTTAAATTTTATATGTTGTGTTTTACTGTGGCTGTTCACCGCCCTGAGTCCTGTTGGAGAAGGGCGGTATACAAATTAAATAAATAAATAATAATAATAAAAAGTTCCATTTGCCAACATCTGTAAATCAAGCCTTATTAAAATGTGTATTTGCATCATAGTGCATCAAGCTAGCCATTAAAATAAAGGGATAGGTTTCTTTTTAAAATGTATATATAGTTTTCTCATTATTAGGGGAAATTAATATAATACCAGTTATATTAAATTCTCTTGTAAGATTTTGTTCTAACAATTCTGTTAAAAATATATGATAAAGCATTTTCATTTGATTCAGACAAGATTTTTAAACCATTGTTTATCAAATAAGTAATAATGGCCTGTTAAATTTTTAGAGTTGTTAGATGCAAACACTAATCCCTAAAGTTTAAAATATACACATGACTTAGTATTCATTGTGACCTTAGCAAGATAATAATGCAATAATTGCTTGAGGTCCTAAAACTATTTAAAAATGCATGCATGCATGTGTGTATGTATATATGTACATTTCTAATTACTGATAATTGCATAGCCATTAAATGATATGACTGCCCATATTTCATGAAAAATATCTCTTCAGATTTCAGAAAGCTTAAACAACTTGGTGACCTTTTCCAAACACAGACTATAGAAATTGGAGTCATACAGTTAAAGAATTGTAACTAGTTTTCAGAATATGTCAAAAATGTATTCTGTTAACTAATTAGGTGGTGCTGTGATTTAATAAGCTACTGTATAAGAAATTCTGTCAACTTCATAGGGGGTCTTTGTCATTAATTTGTTAATATGGATGTAAAAAGAAATTTTCATCAAAGAAAAGAAACAGAACCAAGATAACTTAAGGGCATGGATTCATTTGTGCTGGAAAGGGACATTGTTAATTTATTAATGCGGGAATAACAATAGAACCCAGGATTTTTCCTATGTAACAGGCAAAATTACTTACTGGTAATTACACTTTAATTATACTCCACCATGCTTTGTGAAAACCTTACATACAAACTTAACATTTTAGAACATCTGTAAAATAATGTACGGTATGTTGCTATTCAAATGAAACAACTACAGAATCAAAAGGAACATTTCATCTGATTTTAAGAATTCCCTATTAAACACAAGGCAGCAAGGAAAATATTTTAAACTGCATTCATAAAATAGCAAGAATATAATGCCAATTTGTATAATAAATGTATTTTTAGGAATATTCAAACACATTTTGCCACAGATTTGCAGCAGCTGTTGCAATTTATACATTCCTTTACAATTATTCCATGTTACTATGTTTGCAATGTTTGAGTGTAGTGTAGAGGAATTTTGTGCATTTATCAATTGATCCTAAGTGTATTTACTTTGAAATAAGTGTTCTTTAGAATTTTTTAGATTAGATTAGATTAGATTAGATTAGATTAGATTTCTTTATTGGCCAAGTGTTTGTCACAAGGAATTTGTCTCTGGTAAATAAGCTCACAGTGTACATATAAACAAGTAACAGGTCATAGATGACTTGATGTCGTTAGCTCGACGCAGCCAGCTGGGGGCAGCCTTTTCATCACCACTGAGTCCCCACTGCCAAGTTGCCACCATCTCTTTGCAGGACATCTCAACACTGGAAATTTGCTGCAGGGACAACAAGCTGCAAGCGCTGGATGGAAAGCCGTGTGTGTGTGTGTGTGTGTGTGTGTGTGTGTGTGTGTGAGTGAGCTGTCAGAGGTGGGTGGTAATGGGTGGGGTGGATGATTTCATGGTGTTTCTGGTCATGTGAGGCGTGCATTTGGATGGAGAGTCACAGCAATGTTCCCCCCCAAAGCCGATACAGATGTTGTGCAAAGAGTAATGCTGAGATGAGGTTTTTCCCAGTTTGGACTCCAAATTTTCCTGTCCACACAGCCCCATTTCTGTGGTGCATCAGACCCACACCTAAATGCAGCTGCAAACTGCAATCTGCTTGATGAGCAAGGATTTGAATGCAACTCAAAACAAGTCTTTTTAATTTTAAAAAAAGCTGACATCCCA